CCCACTTGGAAATCAAGAAATTAGGGCAGTGGCTCCCAGGAGAATTTCGGAATAAAACAAGGTTTCTGGAATAGTGCGCACACTGTGAGTGACGAGTGTGTTTGCAGTCATTGGTCTGCTGGTAATTGCATTTCAGTCAGTAATTATTGATTGTGTAAAAATTATTATGAACATGCTATTGTCTCCCCATCTGTGAATCATATCCGGCATAGAAGGTAATACGATCACCAGAAAAATAGCAGAGAGAGCTGAAAAAGCAAATCATACACTCTTGTTCTAATATTGTCAGCAGTGCTGTTTCCCAGAAATGTCAACACCACCTCTTTAAGTGGAACTCATGCTCTGCAACAAACACTTGTTTGACTTTGAAGATCCCTCTCAGACTAGACACAAAGCTTGAGATGGGATCTAAGTTTCATGCACTTAAAACAGACCATCTGAGGGAAATGATTCACAATCAAAGGCCACTCACAGTAGCATGTCATTCACTTCCTGCCCGTTCTAACACCGAGGAGAGGTATCACACAGACTAACTACGCCACAACAGAAGGCAACTGTCTGATGCTACAGTCTAAACCAGCAGGTGGAGCTCAGCAGATTGCCAACAACAGTTGAGTCATGAGAGCTTCGACCTTCTCCATGGTCCAATCAGATGGCAAGGCTGCCGTCTGAAGCCATGACATCACTGTCCCAACACCTAACTGTGAACATGTCTGATATGTCCTCCCATGGGACTTTTTGTTAATTCACTGCGATAATGTATGTTTCTTTTCACCTCTGCAACAAAGTCACAGTGAATGACTGCTATCCAGGATAATCATTAGTGTTATAGCCTGTTGACTTTCCTTTCCACCTCTCGGGTATTGCTGTGGAAGAGTGACGCCTACATTGCACCACACTCATTTCTAATCATGGAGGTACAAGGTCTGACTTGGGAAGGGAGAGCGTGCAGATGACATCATGCTTGTGATGGCCACACGAGCAGCCGCACACTGGACCAAAGGACAATTTACTTAGTTTAGGTTTCTTTTTCAGCACAACACTCAAAATGCATGTAAACAAACAGAAACACTCTCAGTTTTATTAGCAATTTATGACAGCACAGCTATCTCTTTGGAGTGTACTCATTAAGCTAAAGCAGCGACAAGGAACTTTCATTTTGTGTTGATTCTGGCAGCGGCTGTGGACAGAAGCAGTAGTGTTCCAACCGCCTCGTTTCATCTGATTTCGAAGGGGAATCTGACCCGGTGGCAGGTGGTGGTGGTGGTGTTAAGAATAACGATAGAAATAGCCAGTCTTCTCGCTGATGGTCTGGTTTGTTTATGTAGGTCATGTAGAGGCATCTGCACTAAATTGAAACTGTTTCATAACAAATTAACTTCATGAACTTTCTTTGGCAATTTTTCTATATATTCATGATTTAGTTTTCTTTGAGTTTTTAGTTCCTGAGGGTTGCTGCTGGAGTTGTCTGGCTGGCCAACAAAAGGAGTCCCAGTTGCAACAGTCTTGCATAAATGGTGTTGACTGGCAGTTGCACTGCACCATGTTTCCCCTGCAGCCTAGACAGGGATGATGTTTTCTAGTTGGATTTTTGTTATCATTTCTTTGTTTTTGATATTGTGGTTTCATTTTATTCCCTTCGCTAATATTAGGTAGTCTTATACTGACATATTTTATCATTATAATCGTTTTTTGATGGTTATGTCATAGGCTGTCCCCCTGTGAGTCTAAATTGTCTGATCAGCCACTATTTCCCCCATGTCTCTGTTTGTCAGATCAGTTTGTGTTGTTCAGTTATTTTCTGTTTGTGCTTGAGTTTTTTTGTTAATATTTAAAAAAAAAAAAAAAACACCTGTGTCTCTCTGGTCTACTAGCTCAGTCCATTGCACAGCTCCATGGACAGCTGTCAGGATGAGTCAGGTGAATGTGGGCAGACTGAAAGTCGCTGTGTTCCTTATGTCAGGGAACAAAATCCTCCTACAGTGAGGGAGCTTCCAATTCAGTCACCGTCAAAGTATGAGTAACTGTTCTGACAGGAAGCTATAATTTACAGTAACTTCCCCACGTCTGTGAAACAATAGATGATAACATTATAGTGAAAGAAGCTCACCTGTGGCTGCAATCATGAGTGTTTCTCTTGTCAGCATGGTGCAGCACCAGGACTAGAATAGAAATGTAAAACTAATATCGGTGTCACTGAGGAGAAAGTTCAGACAAAATATGCATCAAATAACATAATGCAATTTTTATATTTTGAACAATGAGCACCTAACATTATTATTGCAAAGGCAAAACATGACATTCATCTTCTTTACTTTTTTTGATCCATAATAGTGCCACACACTACAGATTTGCATGTGCTCAATTATACATTCAGTGTGTGACAAACATGGGCACTTCCTTATAATGAGAAGGAATTATTTATAGCATGCTGTGCTCTTATCATTTGTCGGGCCCAACAGGTACAAAAAGATTGAAGGTCAAGGACACCCAAACTTGTCCTCCCAGCAAGCTGTTACTTGGGACAAACATTCATCATTCAAGCACACAGTTGCACCACATCCAGTCCCTCTTCACCACAGAGTATTAATTGGATAAACAAATCTCTGCTACACTATGTAAGTGGCAGGTCCTCCTGTTCTTGACTGAAATTAATATTACACACAAGATAGTTCACTGATATATCTCCGTTTGCAGGAGTTTAATATGCCTATTTAATGCATGACCCTTCCGTTTTGGCATGGTCAAAAATCTATGGAGAAAACAATTTGCAATTTATTATTGCACAAAAAATATTCAGGAGTGTCTTTTCGGAATATAAATATATTCTGAGGCCTTCATTAAGAGCTTCATAAGTACAGTTGTAAGCTCACTCTCTTCAGGACCGTAATTCATGCTGCACTGGTGGAGCTTCTTAATTAACACCTACTCCAGCCAACAAATAGAAGTGTGTTAGTTGTACTTGCCTGCAGAACAAAACACCATTGTTATTTGTGATGTTCTCTGTGGCCACCTCCTTGAATTGCCGATGACTGTCTCCTCATTTTTAGCATTTTTCTCTCTCTCAATATATATATTTATAATTGGTATTATGAAGTGTTTGAACTTTGTTGTCATGTTTGATTATATTTTTTCTTTTGTAAATAGACTCCAGGTTTACTGAGCACGCACACCAGTGGAAAGGTGAAAAAAAGATGAACACTGTAAAAACATAATTACCTTACTGTCAAACTCTTTCCAGTTACTTTATAGGAACATGAGGGAAAATCAGTTTTCAAAGCATGGTACCACAATTTAAAGAGACAGTGTATCCGTGTGTGTGTGTGTGTGTGTGTGTGTGTGTGTGTGTGTGTGTGTGTGTGTGTTTGTGTGCGTGCATGTGTGTGCAAGGTGGAAAAGTGAGGCGGGAGGGGTGGCACCTGGCCTCTTTAGATAATCTATTTATGGCTTTCACACTTCATTAGGCCCAAACTAAAATACTTGGCTCTTGAATATGTTTATCAAATGTCTCAATGTTATCAGTCACAGCTGCAACAAACCATAAAAGTGTGACTACTGCATACTGATCACAGCTTCTATGGTTTGTCTTGACCTTGAAATTGTAAAATTTGTGACATCTGCAAACCGTCTCTAGGTATCTGAATAAAAGTCTTCTCCGAAATGTCAGTGCTGCTGTAGTAGCATGTTTATTATATATTAATAAAATATGAGGAAACCAGAGCTACAACCTGCTCGCCGTTAACTGCACCTGATGCTGCATCAGCAGACTCTCTTCCTCTGGAGTCCTCTGTTTACTTTGTTAATCCAACGTTTGAACCCAGTGACTTAAAAATGAAACATACAATTTTAATTAACAATAGGCATGAGATAGTGGGATTATAGCAAATGAAAATAACTACAGAGGCAACGTCTGACAATTTGACATTGACTGAAAGCTCCAGTTTCACAGGCTCTGAGCACATGTACATGTTGCTTTGTTTGTTTGTAGATCTGTGTGAAAAATGCAATAAAGAGATTTTGGGGGGAAAAGGAAGCTCCAGTTAGAAAATGCTCTGTTTTTTTGTACAGTATGAGCTTAGACTAGACACAAGAAAATCTACCTTTTAGATAGATAGATAACTTTATTAATCCCACAATGGGGAAATTCACTTGTCACAGCAACATTTGAGTGAAATAAATAACAAAAATACAAAATATTATTTACTTAATTAAATAATTAATATTTAATAATTTGTATTATTTACAAAATATAACAAATATTCTGCGCAATACTTGAGTGATTTAGTAAAAGACAAAATATTATTATTGACCTCTTGTCTATTATTTAATAGTTGCTTGAAAATTAAATCTTTAATCTAAATAATTTGTTTGCAGTGAACAAAAAAAAATGCTGTTTTATGGTAGTTAAAGCAAGGTTGGTTTTTGATACATTTTGATAAATTTGGTTATAAATTTTGACATGGCACAGCTGGAAATTCCCCCCACAACGATAAATAATTAAAATCCTTATATATAGATAAAGAGATATTCAATGTGACAATGTGATGCTTTGTATGTTGCCTAATAAGATGAGCCCTGGATCAGACACCAAAGGTTTTGGGGCAGTTTCCTCTGTAGTAACCCAATGACCAAGTGAATTTGCTGCTATCCGGATTAAATTAGCTATTGAATTATCTTTAATCTACCAAAAGCATGTGAACTGACATGAACCTATTCTATACTAAGAGTATAGGCCTCATCTGACCATATGATTTAACATGCACGGCCTCCAAATAACAAACTTCAGGATTTGTTTAGTTCTTTAGACCAACTGTAAAAAAGAAAAGAAAACAAGAAGTACAACCGGTATCCCGGACCACGGTCGTACACTAACTTCATGGAAGCAATAATTAATCCATATATGGGCAAATACAGTGAGCGCCACGCCCAAAACACCTCCTCGTTTTGCGGGCTTGCTGTGTCCTGTGGTCGCCCTTCCCCACTGCCAGGAAGTTCAGGAACTCGGTCACCGCCCCAGCAACCCCCCCCCCGGTCCCCGGTCCGTCTCATCCATTGTTGGGCAATAGTCTGCGACATCGAAACCCTCCTAACCGAAACTTTTCAGGTAACTAAAGCGAGTTGAAGATCTTTTAAAACACCGAAGGTACTTTTCGATTTATATAGTTTATTTCGGGGGGGGGGCGAAGGAAGCGCCGTGTTAGGCCGTCAGCTATAAGGAGGACCTCTAAACTGAGTCGGTGAGAGGAGGAAAAGGGAGGAAAACTTTTCAGACAAGGAACTCCGTAATTCTCATTCCTCCATTTTGAACTTTTAAACTCCAGTTTTTTTTTCCTAGTGGATTGTTTTTCGGTAAGTTTAAAACGTTTTCTTTAACCAACATATAAGCTTAAACCGCTATTAACCTTACATGGGATGTTTAGTTGGACAGCTTGTTTACAGTTTAAAAGGGTTTATTTTTTTTCCTCCGTAGTATTTTCCGCAAGCTAACGGAGCTAACGTTAATGTTTGTTGTGTCGGCTAGCATTAGCGTTAGCAGGTAGGTTTGAGCTATGTTTGCTTAAATGTTTTAAGGTGACCCTTTTTAACCTCGACGACACGGTTTTTAAAGTCTGCATAATGTTAAAGCGTCTGTGAACTTTAATTTAAAAAAATAAAACTACACCTACAACAGGTGCCACTTAAGCTACTTAACTAGTGTTAGCACCTAGGTTATATTTAGCTCACCAGGTGTTAGACGCACCCTGTCTCTCATCCGCTTGTAATTAGAGTTAAATGTGTTATTATTTTAATTTGGATGTTGGGATATGATAGGGTGTTTTTTAATTAGCAGAAAATCCTGTCGTCCCTTTGGCCAAAATAGTTTAACGTGAGTTTACGGAGAGTTATTTCACTTTTAATAACTTTAAAAGTAACGTTATAGTGGTATCTAGCTATGTGTGTCGTTTTGGTTTAATTCGACATGTTTTTTTAAAATGTCTGCGTCTGAGACTTCATCTGCCACACCCATAGTGCAGAGGAGGTAAACGGGATTTCACATCCGCTGTCCCAGGTACTTGGTGTACTCAATAGACCAGTTTTTAATGGAGATAGAAGTAGGTTCAATACACACAGTCCACCACCACAAGTATCTGTGAAAGAGCCTTTCCCTCTGAGGTCTTTAAAAGCAGCTTTTCAATGCATTGCACACCGCAAACAGCTTAATTAATTTATATTGTTTCAGGCTGGCCCCTGATGTTGTAGCAGTAGAGATCTGAAAACCTCAGCAAATGAAACTGAAACTATCTGCATGGTAGGGAAAGTAGTTTTCAGTGTTTGTGTGAAGTGACCTTTTGACATTCTAGTGGATGTGAAACCTCTCAGTGGTTGATAAATAATTGTAGATTAATGCCTCTGTGTGTAGATTAATGCCTCTGTGTGTAGATTTGTGCCTGTGATAAAATAAGTTACAACTGTGACAGACAATCTGCATCCAAATGTAAACATTTGCCAGGATTTTTGAAGGCAAAATTGAAAGCACATGCACCCAATGAATAACAGGTCAATATATAACATTAAGTTGTCATCACTCAAATGTTCCTCTGGCGTTTTCTGATTTTTATTTTAGCCTCTTTTGTTTACAATGTAGGCTAAAAGCTGTCTACGGCATTGTTCTCACAGCTGACCAACTTTTCAGTTGAAGCCCCTCAGCCCCCCGGGCTTGCTGATTATCCCTGCCCCTCCATGTTAGATAGCTAATCAATGGAGTTGCAGTCACTGCTTGAAAGGAGAAATCGAAATTGGACCACAGTGTTGCTGTGCCTTTGGCAATCATTCTGTGAGGGATGGAGCATTGCTGGCTCCAACAAGGACCTTTTATTATTTTGACTGTTGTACAAAAACTTTAGAGACTAACTAGTCTGAAAATCACATAGGAAGCTTAACTTTGTTGTTTACTTTGATAATTGTGTTTTTTTTATCTTGGCCTAACCATCATATAATAACAGGTATTCAGTGTTATTTAGGACAAATATGTTGATACAGTTTAAATTGTATTTCATCATTGCATCTGGACTATGAAATGATTATCTGTTTTAACTTTTTTCCTTGACCACACTTTACACTTTCTACCCCCAGAATTCCAGACACCATGACAAACATCAACACAGCCAACATCAACTTCAAATGGGACCCAAAGAGTCTAGAGATCCGTACTCTGGCAGTGGAGAGGCTGCTGGAGCCCCTGGTCACCCAGGTAATGTAAACACTGTGTGCATTTTAATTTAGAATAATAGGTCAGGTTCAGATAGCCTATGGACTGTGGAATTGGTGCAGAGGTTTTATAAGAAAAAATGCTCGGAAATACAATTTCAATGTGATACTGAAGCAGAGTTAATATTAATAGTATAAAAAGGAGCTTCTAATCAGCTACATATTCTAAAACAGTAGCATGTAGCGTATTATATCATCAAATGAAACATTTTCCTTGCATCAAGTATTAAGCATATATATATTATATATTATTTATTGAGGGAGCTGTTGGCATAACGGTCTTCTGCCATGTACATTTAAGGCCCTGAAGCAGCTAGTTATGTTGTTGAACCATTTTCTATCCCTTCCATAGGTCACCACCTTGGTAAACTCCAGCAACAAAGGCCCATCTAACAAGAAGAAAGGACGCTCCAAGAAGGCTCATGTTTTGGCAGCATCGGTGGAGAATGCTACCCAGAACTTCCTGGAGAAAGGAGAAAAGATTGCAAAGGAAAGTCAGTTCCTTAAGGATGAGCTCACTGCTGCTGTGGAAGATGTCCGCAAGCAAGGTATATTGAAAATACATATTGCAACAGTGTGTGGTTTCTGGCTTGTACAGAGTGCTTCTTAAGATAGGAGGAATGATAAATAAATCATAAGCTATGTACATACTGTATCATCTGCCCCAGTGGAAGAGCTTGAAATAAGAATATGTTTTGAGCCTGATAGATTTCCTTTTGCTGTGGGGTTTTCAGGGAGCCCATTCATAGACTTTTGATTTAAGTATGCAGACGGTTCACACTCATATCATTTGGACTGTCATCGCCTTGCCTTACTGGGATCCAACTAGCCATGTTTCTAAATGGTTTTGATTAGGAATGATCCGATCTCAATGATCCGTATCAGCACCAATCACATAATTTTTTAACTCATAAGTATTGGCTATGTCGAGAGGCTTATTGAGCCGATCTTTTGTTGTTCGTCAGTTGTCACACAGCTCTTTTTACCCATGAAGCGTTCATGCACGGTGCAACCATCGTCAACTCTCTCCTCTACTCTGTGTGTGAGAGCAGGAGCAGCCCTGCCCTCTACAGAGTTTCACCACGGGCGGGGCTGCCTGTGTACAGAGAGAGCGATAGAAATACACGACCACGCTCAACACACCACTGCAAGTGCAACACACGTCCTCCGAACAAAAAGCCAATAAGAGTAATTAATGAATTTAATCTGCTCACACATACAGACAACGGAAATAAACAACAGAATACAGACAGTTTATTCAGACAACTCAGGCTGCACTGAAGCACCAAACACTGGAGAGAGAAACTCCCTCCAGACAGCAATAAGGCCAAAACGGCTACAGGGTTTATTATTTTATACTTTATTATGAAAAAAAATAAACAGTGGCGGTTGCTAAAGAGGTTATTGTAGATATTGCTTACATCAATTATATCAGAACTAGAGAGTATTCATTGAGAAGAGCAAAGAAGGCTTTTTTCAATTGAAAATATGTTTTTGCTTTTCTCCCAGCTTACTTTGGTAAGAGTTTGACTACGGGATTGACGGGTGGTTCATTCCATTACCTGGCCTGTATTTTCTGAAAGTTCCTGCCCGTTTCCAAACAGTCTGTGTAACAAACCATCTGGCGCTGTCAGGTTAATATCGAGAACCAATCCGATACACATGCATTAGTATTATTATTATTATTATTTTTTTTTCTGTAGACTAGTAACCCTTTAAGCTTGCTCTTGTTGTATGACCTGGTTCAGATTAAACCCATTGTAAAATGTCAACAAAAGCATACAGAGAATGAATGGTGCAGAACTTCAGCATTTTATGCTGTATCAGAGGCATAACTAATACTCGCATTAGTATCAGATCAACCCTACGTTTACCCTCAGAAGTGTGTGTGTTCTTCTAGACCAGTGTAAGGTTGCTCAGAAACTATTATCTGGACATGACTGTCTTCTGTGACAAAAAGTGAAAGATGGTTAATCAAAGACTTGCGTTTAGACCATTAGACAGAAATGAGACCATTTTGGTAAATACTGACTTCATCATACGTGTTGCTTTATGTAACTAGAGTTCTACAGTACTTTTAGAACAAAGTGCTTTATCTAGCTGTCTACAAGGATGTATCATTTCATGGCAAACATTTGATGGACCCTTGTTAGGAGCAGGAGCATATAGTCAGCATGATGCACTGTGTTTTGTTGTTCACACCAGTACAAAAATTGGACCTTCCTGGATCTTTGTGTCAGCCTGTAAGATGTATTAGTTTGCCTCAGCAGCCAAAGTTGTCTATATTTATGATGACAAAATGAAAAGTGAATCATCACACACCAGGGGCCCTGTCTTGTCTATGTAGATTATTGAGGGGGCATGGTGTTGGCGATTTGTCTGGCATTCTGTGTAGAACATATCTGCTCAGTTGCTTAGTGGATTACCATTGTTGGATAGAAGAACACACATGCTATTCAACAACTTGTGCATCCCGAGGCAGGAAGCTACCATCTACCAATTATCAGACATTTAAATTACCATTTGTCTTGTGATTCCATCATCTAACAACCACACTTTCAAGTCTCCGTTATTACTTTTTGCTATGGATGTCTGACTGTATTTTGACAGACTAGCAGACCATTGAGACCAGGGAGCTATGACTCGAGGGTGGCTGTTATCACCTTGTGATGCGACATCTGTGTCACTGTGTCTTTTCTCCCCAGATGCCCAGCGAGTTAGATGTCCCCTGCTCTCCCTCTGCTCTGAGTAGTTGGGAGGTAAATGACATGTCGCTAGATAGCCTGTGCAGTGCTCAGTGCCCAGGAATGTTACTGTAGTTGTGGTAAGCTGTCACTGGACTGGAATTCAGTGACTGTTGTTAGCTGGTGCCTAGGCCTGGCTGTCAGCTATGCCATGCTGCTCAGTGGAGCGTGCCTAGACTGATAATACGGCTATTGAGTAGGGTAACACCCCCCCACCCCTCTGGATTCAGAATGCATTTTCCACCCAGCTGTGGCTTACCAGCTGTTTAAAATGAGAGGAAAAAAATCTGACATGATCATTAAGGATGACGGTGCATACAGTGCGTGTTGAAGTGGCTTGCGGACCAAATCTTGTTCTTCCTAAAACTATTCTAAATGATTAATTTAGTGCATGTTTTCCTCCAGTTAACTTGTTCTCTGAATACTTTAAATCATATTTTATTTACCTTAGGCTTCGCTAAAATCATTAGACATTTCTTACCCTTTAAAGACCCTTTCTTTTCTCCGTCTTGCCCTTCCCTCCCTGCCTGTGTCTTTGTTGTCCTGCTGTTTGGAGGGGATTATTGTGTGATATACATTTTAATCACCTCATCATGCACTTGGTGGGCCGCAGGTGAGCGTTAGATAGATGGAAGTTTATTAAAGAAGCACTGATCACTATCTGCCCCCTGAAAATGGCCTTATTGATTTTGTTCACAGGGGGGAATAACAGCCTGAAGGTGCGGGCTGTGTTTGAGATCTGTTTTGTCGATCATTTGCACAAAATGCTTTGGTTCTCTGTTGGAGTAAAATGGTCAGAATCTGTGTGAGACTTTTGTTGTACATGTTTGATATGAAAAGTACCAAAAAACATTTGAATCTTTGTATTCGGTACTCTTTTTCATGTCACTGTAATTCAAATACCATTGTGTCTTTTGACTATTGATGTATTTTAGAGCTGAAGGTTGAAGTTGATTCATCAATTAGTCAGCTATTTTTCCCCCCTATTTTGATTGTCGAGTAATTAGTTCAGTAATTTTTTTAAAGAAAAATCGTTCTTATCTTTGGGTTTTCCACCAATGTTGGTCTGAAACATTCGCAGTTTTAGCGGTAGACTAGCCAGGCAAACTGCTGTATACTGGGTGGAGGTTTCTTTCTTTCTTTCTTTCTTTTGATGATATGATAACCGTTGCTGCTGACGTGGTACTGCTGAAGCCACAGTCACCTCGGCCCTCACACCCGTTTTACAGCTGTCTGATGGACTAGATATGCTTCTTTGTTGCTGAACGAAGATGTCTACACTGGCCCCGTAACAAAGTGTCTTTGTAAGCTTCGAGTCTGTTCTCTTTAAAGTAACAACATCGATTTTGTATTGGGCTTGTGAACGTGCTGCACAGCTGTATTGTGGCTGAACAGATCTGTGACACTTGCAAGAACACCTATGAAAATGGCATTTTACTACATAATGGCCAATCATTACAAAGGTCCAAGAGTTCATTATTTTTCTGATATTGTGATGGCCCCTGAGTTTCAAAAGCTTGTGCAAGTGCAACACTACAACTAAAGATGTTTTTTTCTGTGATTGGTAGTCATGCTGGCGCACATCTAAACTAGGGATGAGCATTTTATCAATGCAAGTACTTGCACTGAAATGTTATTGACTCTTATTTAGAGGTGGCATGAATGCAAGTCATTCAAACACAGATTTGAACATAGACGACCAGAAGCAGATTCACTCTAGATACTGCAAATTACATCTGCTCAAGTTGAAAATGTTTCAACTCTAGTGTAAATATGTAGTTATTCTAAGTTGCCTGACTCAATGAATGAAAAGCAGCAGGGGCAGAAAGGAGATGGTCTGGAGGAAAATAAGAGGAATTGGAGTTCTTGATAAATGTGAAAATCAGTCTGTCTGAGCTGATACACATACAGTTGCCTTTTGTTCTCACAGCAAACATCACTTGGGGAACTCATCCATTGACCGCCTGTGGCCACAACACATTTTAGTGGTCATAGCCAAGAAGTCACTTAACTTTGTATCTAAATACTGCTTGCTCGTTATCTAGGAGTGAGCGAGTATGCTGATGCTTTGACTTTGAACAAAAAAAAAATACACTCAGGCCACACACGGCACTCAGCTCTTACTAGCCAGTTTAAAAGATTTAGTTGATATTACAGTCCATTTTCAGTGTTGCCTTTTTGTTTTTAATGAAATACCATGCCACAACGTTTTGTTACATCCCTACTTAAAAATTATTGTTGTCTTTGAAAATATCCATAATTGTCTCAACTGCTTACCCTGTTTAGATTAGCAGTGGCTGGTGTCAATCCCAGCACACATTGGGTAAAAGGGGAAGTACAACCTCTATCGTAGCAAGGCATTGCAAGCAGTTTTGTCAAAAGAATGGAGCTGCTCTATCCATGACTGTCATGGAACAAGTATTTAGCAAGATGGTAACAATTGATGAGCATGAACCCGCTGCTAAATTAGTTTTGAGTTGTCTTTTCCAGTGAACATGTCATTGGTGTGAGAACATTATTCATGTTGCTGCTTGTCATCTGTTTTAGTCTCAGTCTCTTTAGAGCTGTACACATCATATGAAAGTGGGCAAGTTAAGTACTTGTCTTTTTGTTGGCTTTGGATTTGTAATGCAGACATAACTATTATAAGGCATTTTTTGAGTTTGAATTTGGTTGTGCCTTGACCGAAGTAAACTAATTATGGATTTACTGTCTTGTTCATAATGTGAGCCTACAAAGTCCATTTGTGTGTCCAGTCAACTGTGCAGGCCCATCCAATGTAGGACAAAGCACGGTGCTGGACAAACCAGACAGTGAGCCCTTTGTCGTGGATTTGACCTCTTTCTTTAGAGGGCTATGTGTGCATGTACGTGTCCATTATTACTGGACATTGAAGAGGTGTGTGTGTCTTTGTCACTCTGTGTGACACGTGCTGACCGTAAGCAGGCAGGGAAAATGCGTCAGACTGTTTCCTCTCTTCTGCACACTCCTCTTTGTCTCATATGAAGACTTCTGACGCAATTAACTAGTAGCCTGGAACTGACTGTGACTGCTCTCAGACATCTGCTGTCAGCTCCTGTAGACTACTACTACTACTACTACTACTACTACTACTAATAATAATAATAATAATAATAATAATAATAATAATAATAATGATAAGAAATAGGTTTTACACATGAACATTTGGCTGTTTTAATGGATAACTGAGGAAGGCAGCTCATTGCATTGAAAACAATTATTTTATGTGATACATTGATGTATATTTATGGAATATTTCCATATCAGAACCTGTTGGTGAGGCGTATGTCTAGGAAATTAAACTGTCAACAGCTTGATGGTAGGCTATTTGTTCTTTCTTGATGGCAAAAGAGGATCACAGACAATTAGATATTAAGTACACCGTAAAAGCTAGTTCATCGTGGTTCAAAACAGTGGGTGTTTTTGAACAGTTGCTGGTTCAAAAGTCTGTTTTTCAACGAATTTTCATTTGAAGTTTCAGTTTAAACCTTGGAGTTACAGAATATGTTTTATTTTGTTTTGTCACACATTTTCAGGTGAGTCAATGCGGCAGGCTTCTGGAGAATTTGCAGAAGACCCCTGCTCATCTGTGAAGAGGGGCAATATGGTTCGTGCTGCCAGAGCCCTCCTGTCTGCAGTCACACATCTGTTGGTGCTGGCAGACATGTCTGATGTCTACAAACTTCTACTGCAACTTAAACTGGTGAGATAGTTACATGTGTCTGCATATTATACATTACAAACTAGCTTAATTGGAATTTAAGAAAATATAATTATTCCATTAAGCAAAAAAAAACATACTGTATCTGCTCTATCAAGAACAGTATTGCCAGCAAGACACATTAAGGTATTAATTTGATTTAAAAGTATTTACATGAGTTGGAGTAATCCAGTCCACTCAGTAGTGCAGGTTTACATGCACCGTCTAATATTGTCCAGAAAGATATGTAGTAATGTATTCTGAGTCAAGACTAATCTGGAAGTTGTACATACTTTCTGTCTTTGTGATGCTATAAGTAACTCATTTTTAATAAATAAACAGAAATTAAGAATTCTTCTGGTAAAACCCAATTTAAATGTATCAAAATAAACATTGGTCTTTGGTGTGTCTATTTAATCTTTTATTTAATTCCAAATTGATGTCTTTTTAACCAGCTGGAACTTTTCACCACTTGAAACTCAACGTGACAGGCTACACCTTATTAAAACCACATCAGTTGATTGGCATGACTTGATTGCAATTTTGAAAATTGCTCTTAGAAATCTTGATGGCCTCAGCCTGAGCTCACACCTGACCATGATAAAACAATGCAATACATTTTCCTAATTTGTCTATTTTATGAGTATAGGTTAGTATTGTCCACTTTGATCATTAAATGAGTTAAAATCTGCTAACTTACAGAAATATACTCTAAAATATGCTTTAAGTATTATCTAACTTTCCATCTGCCTGGCTCAGGTGGAGGACAATCTGGTGAAAGTGCGTAATGCAGGAACAGAGCAGGACCTTGGGATCCAGTATAAGGCCTTGAAACCAGAGGTGGACAAGCTGAACATCATGGCTGCCAAGAGACAGCAGGTAATGTACAGATGGCAAAAAAGAGAGACAAGGTCAAATCATGGGAGCAGAGGAGCCTGGTGGATTTAATTGGGTTGGGAGGTTATCAAGTGAATGCGTGTTAGTGGTCTTGTTACTCATAACAAACATGTTCTCCAACCTACATGGCAAACAATAAGTAAAACAATAGGAGGTAGTAAGCAAGAAGAAGTGCCTCATCCTTTAGCTGGACGATTAGATGCAGTAAGCATGAACAATCTTCTTATTACCAGTGAAGTGGGCTGGGAGTGAAGGGAAAGAAAAGCATAAAGGCTCGACTCTAAATGTGACAAAAATCCATTTCCTTGTGATGAGAAATGGCACATCGTTTTTCTCCACTATAGTGTAAGTGGTAGTCAACAGTGAAGTGCATTTCCTGATGCATTTTCCAAATGAAACAACTTCATATGGTTCTTGGTGCATATCCAGGAGATGCACACAATGCTAATTACTGGAAGTGAAGAAAGCTGAGTGAATGGTGTTGTTATTTTGAGAATATTTACCTTTTCTTTTGCGCCTTATTTGTTGAGATTGTCTTCAAACGACTGACAAAGGAAGTAGTATGCATTCACAGCTACGTTCACACTGCAAGCCTTGGCACTCAATTCTGATTTATTGCTCGGATCAAACTTTTTTGTTGTTTTTGTTTGGCTGTTCACATTACTTTTTAAATATGGCCCATATCAGATTCCAGTGTGAACAGTTCACGGTCCTGAACTGACCTGCATGACAAATGTCAGTCTAGAGTGATATAGAAATCCCATGAATTCTCATATGACTGTTCACACTGAGGTCACATTGCAAAGAATCAGACCTGAATCTGATTAGGACCACATATGAATATGACCCAAATCAGAATTGAAAGGATTAGATTCCATAGTCACAAAAATCTGATCTGGGTCACTTTGGCCTGCAGTCTGAATGCGTCCATAGTGATGATTTTCAGCTATTCTTAGCTGGAGGTAAAGGTCATGTATGAATGTTTTACGTTTTTCAAAACACAGCCACAGTGAATGGTGGTAGGACCAAAATGTAGTAGAAGAAGTATTACACAATAGTGCCACCAACATCATGAATTTGGATAATACACGTTTCTAACATTTATGCACCTCTCTATGCTGTGCACACTGTCTAAACCATCAAAATCAAATATTAAGTGTGTAAAAAAGTTTTTAATACTATCACTGATCAGCTACACTGGACATAGAATATCTTTTGTACCGTTTGTACCAATGTACGAGCTTGAAGAAAACACGGATTTAGAGAAGTTAGATGATTGATATAATAAGGCTTTTCACATCACACTGGAAAATGAATGATGCAACCGCATCATGTCAAAAAGTTGTACCACTGAAGCATACTAGCTTTATTTGTCAAAAGTAAATACCATCTCAAAATCCACCCAAATACTAGACAGTTCTTGTTCTCCATATTGCCACCTCTTCAAATGGGAAACTTGCCAAAATGATCACTGATGGTTTTGTGAAGAAATTACTTTTACTTGTAATTGCACTTTCTTATGGATAGCAAAATGTGTTGAACCAATTGAATGCAGGAAGTAATGGGGCTTATAGGCGGTTTTTTTTTTCCAGCATGTCTCAACAATAGTGGGGGGAAAAAGCCCTGGGAGCATTCCATTTGGAGGGGAGGCTTTCGTTTTGTGTATGCAAGCTGTTTTTTCTTATGCCATAAATCTATGCCGCGATCACTATCTCCTCTCCTCCCTCCTATGAAGATGTAATTGCAATATAATGCTGAGGTCTGAATAGCAACGCATTAAATTGCAAAGGCATATTATAATGGCCTGATTATGACTCTGTTGTGTTACTGCAGGGGACAGAAATAAATCTGGGTCATCCAGAACAAACTCTGTCACACTTACTGTCTCCATAAGGGTATGACAGGCCCATTTTGAATCTAATATACATTACCACCTAAACCCCTATTCCATCTTTGAGTTTAACCCTTTTTTCCATCCATTTTTTACGTTCCTTTTCATCTCATTCTGCTAGGAGCTAAAAGATGTTCACCACAAGGACCAAATGGCTGCTGCTCGTGGTGTGCTACAGAGGAACATCCCCATGTTGTACACAGCGTCCCGTGCCTGCCTGCAGCATCCTGACGTGGCAGCCTACAAGGCTAACCGTGACCTGATCTACAAGCAGCTGCAGCATGCAGTCTCCGGCATCTCCAACGCTGCCCAGGCCACTGCCACTGAAGACTCAGCACTCAGTCATCCAGCAGGGGGTGGAGAGCTTGCCTACGCCCTCAACAATTTTGATGTAAGTCAAATGAGTAGTTTACAAGTCACAGCCCACTTGACTTTTCTGATGCATACAGCCAGAGATCCAGGTATCTGCCAAGTTTATAAAAAAAAACATGAACTTCAAGATCATATTTTTCCCTACAACACTAAGTCTCAGTTCCAAAGGTTTCATAAAAAATATGCATTTATTAACAGAGATAGATGAGGGCTTGTTGACAAAGGGTATCGTTAGGTCAGACGTTCAAATTATAGAACTAACCCAACTGAATCATAAAATGACCAAAACCCTTGAAGGGCTCGGGGTCGAGGTGGAAATTAGGATGGGATATGTGGACAAACTGGGACATGGCTTTGGGGTGCATTGAATATGTTCTTGAGTCACAGTCGTTCCTTGAATTGCTTCTGTCTCTAGGTCAAATGAAGAATATTTACACATCTGTAGCATTTTATTTTTGAGTCATCTTTATTAGAAAAGCATGCCTGAAAAAATACCTTGATATCTACATTTGCAGAAGAGGTGAGAACATGCAGCCACAGTCCTTAAGTTGCAAACAAAGGAGTACTTTTAGCACAGGGAGGAACGTTAATCTTCTAAAAACACTTTGCATGTTGCTGTCTAGTCCCTCATATAAATGCTTAAAACCTGTATATCTCTGAAAGTCAGTTACTGTTATCCAGTGTTTACTCAAACTATATCCAGCATGTTCCTAAAATCCACAGCTGACTCAGACAAACTAGTTTATTTATTTCTCTGGAAATGCAGTTGTTCATAGTCAGCCTCTGAAATTTTAAGACCTTATTCAATAAAATATTGCTTAATATTCATTAAAAATAGGAAAATATATATGTCATATATGAATATATGACATACTAGTCATCATAATATTTACATGAAGCAACATCGAGATAACAGCTGGATAAAGCATTGAGCTAATCATCTTAATGCTGCCTGGAGTGATAAATGCAAAGATGATTAACCTGTAATTTTTTCTTCTGTCAGACTTGCAAAGCCCCTTTGATTTTTTCATTCTCAGACAGCTTCCAAAGGCATTGAACAGATCCACAATGACAAATTCAATCTTGTTCATGAGCTTTATAGAAGTACAGGTTTCCATTGTGTCCTGTTTTGCTAGACACATCACTCATCTTGTGTGATCTGTTATTTAGTCATGTAGGAAGAAGCAGTGTGCAACTTGATGTGTTGCTCCTGCAGTGACATTGTTTACCCACGTGATCGATGCAATCTGCATGCTTATGTTTTACATGCCTGTGGCCATATGACGCACTGATTAATTACTCATGGCCTTGTGCAAGAATCACAAGGGTGGTTATTGTCAACCAAGGTTTTCCTGTTGATAGAGCATAGGATGCAGGTATTAGAATAGATGTGTATATAATGATTACGAAATGATAGGATCTCATGCACCCCCACCTTTTTAGATAACCCATTTGAGTCAGCAGCTCTTAGCAAGACAAATGAAAAATTTACTCAAGCTAAGCTTTTTAAGTAGCAAATGTGGTACTTCCTTCATCAAGTGAGCACTGCTTTCCAAAGTAGTCTCAGTACTGTGTATATAAAACCATGCCCTTTCTGCTTTCAACAAATTTGGATTTTTAGGGCAATAGTACCTGATGGCTAGAAGAACAGAAACTTTGTATCACAGTTCACTCACTAGATTTTGATGTGTTGAAACCCCAGTTTTTCACGTTTTTGTGTTCAGGAATAGACTAAATGGACTCTGGGTAAGTGGATTACAGCCATGGGAATTTATGTTAAACTATTACAAAATATAATAGCATTTGTCGCTAATGACAGATGGCATGACAAATGATTAATCTCCATCAAACGAATATCTACAATGCAGTCTCTTAGATCTGTTGCATCAGTGAATATTTTACAGGTAGTCATGCAAAACGTCACTCCCCAAAGAACTGGTTTGCATGCCTTTTCCAGACTACTTTCTGATGCCCAATTTCAAATGAAAGGCAAAATTAGCAAATGAGTCAACACCCCCAATTCTCTCTCTCTCTCTCACTCACTCTCTCTCTCTCTCTCTCTCTCTCTGTTTCCTCCTCCGTGTCTCTCTCGTGTGCCTGTTGCCATGGTGATATGACACGCAAGCAGAGGAGGTCAGATGAGACGGAATGGAGGGGGCTGGAGGTGGCTGTGATAGAGGGCGGGCTGCCTAATAAACCGCAATTCTAACAGCTGAATTGCTGAATATGTTTTAGCAATAAGGTATCTGCGCAAGTGCAGAGTTTGTTTGTCGTTGTGGAAGTTGGCTTTCTTTCTTTAGCCGCCACAAGTGTCATTTGTGATACCTTAACCCTCAGCAGTGTCTCTCCAGCATGTCAACTAGTTGCCTCTCTCAGCAGGCTTGCCCCTGTGAAATCAGACATTTAAGTGTTCTCTCTCATCCTGTAGATATAAAAGAGAGGAGAGTGGGTTACTATGGTACTTCTGTGACTCAAATGTAAGGTAGAAAAATAAAATCCTTTCACAAAAGGGATTATATATTTATATATATGATTACATATTTATAGGCTCATCTGTTGTGTGAAATGGATCTTGTAGTCTACATTGCAGACATTGTACTACAGTTTTTTTGTTTTTTCTTCATTCATTTGGTCCCTAGAAGAACCTTTCTGTTTTGTGTTTTTGCCCTTCCAGATGATTTGTTGTGTCACATGTTGTGACTTGTTTTCTCTGAGAAAGTGCCTTTTTGAAGTTGTATTCATCTCGAAAAAGTCAAAAAACTGTGTCAGCAGAGCAGAGGAGCAGACCTAGTCTTAGAGGATATAGAGAAAAATGCCCTCACCAACTTAATACCTTGTAAAATGGACAGTCCCTGACTAAAGTTTCTGAATAAGTCGTTTTCTTTTTCTGTGTGTGACGCAGATGAGAAGAGGACACTGCTGAGTCCAATTTAGAAAAACCAGGTTTTTGCAAAAGCCAATCAAACAGTTTTTCAGTTGAGTATGTACACCTTGCAAGGCGTTGCATTAAAACTGAGTAATCTTGGAAGCCTAAAGTACTTCTCAGAACTGCATTATTCACGCTTTTCTGACTGGAACTAGAACTTTTGGTGAAATAAGGATGGTCCTTGTTTTGAAATGAACAGAGCACAGTTTCAGTTTTTCCCTTTTTCCAACATTGTGCTCTATTACAGAAAATACCACGAGAATAGGTTGACATGGTTATTCCTCTAACTTTTTTCCATTAAATTTTAAAATTTGAAACTCTTAGTATCAAAATCCTTTTGTATTTCTCTATTATCCACAGTGGACTGGTGTCATCACTTTTTCAAGTGTGGGGAAATTTTTATTGAATTGAAGACAAAAGTGACCTTAACTGGTCACTACTTTATAAGTGATGCAATACCTAGTCAACATATCATTAAGTAAAAATAGGCACATTGCTCAAATCCTGGAACTGGAGAGCAAGTGATGAAAAAGACAGCTTAGCACATTCTTCTCTTTAGGTTTTTCAGTCAGCCTGTCAGTCTGTCACTTGACTGCCAGATTTCTCTCTTTGGGCTCTTGGAGAGGGAGATATCAATGTTAACATGATGACTTTTAGCATTTTTTCTCCCTGTGTAATTTCCCCTCTACCCTTTCCTTACAGAAACAAATCATCGTGGACCCCCTGGCGTTTAGTGAGGAGCGCTTCCGTCCCTCCCTGGAGGAGCGCCTTGAGAGCATTATCAGTGGTGCTGCCCTCATGGCTGACTCTTCTTGCACACGTGATGACCGCAGGGAACGCATTGTGGCTGAATGCAATTCTGTGCGCCAGGCTCTTCAGGACCTTCTTTCTGAGTATATGGGCAATGTAAGTGTCTCATCTACTCATTTCCTTCCTGTTGGCACCACACCACCTTCTAATCATTACCCACAACACAACAGCTCTCAATTTATTTTTGTATTTACATTTTGCCTTTATTGGACAGTGGGAAAATTCATAATGGTTTGATTTGTCATCTACCTAATCACTTTCATTTGCTTTATGTCCTGAAGGAAAATATGAAGTAATCTCACTGAAAACAAATTCAGTCTCTACGCAATATTTACTTGTGTGCTGAGCGACAGAACACCTGCAACTACTTACTGTCCTTACTTTGACTTAACGTGTTGAGAGAGTTAATGTTGTGTTCAAAAACAAATGAAAGTCCTTCTCTCAGGCCATTGTCTTGATGATAGCACCATCCTGCCTATTACATGATTAATCTGTGGAAATTAACACTGACACTGTGGCTAGAGGTAAATTGAATACATGGGCCTGCAATCAACAATGTCTCTTGTTAATCAGGTCCTTGTAGTTAACATATACTCTAAATTGACCTAACTTTTCAGTCATTGTACATTGTAATACAATGCCTGTAATTATGTCTGTGTGTGCTGACCCCTACAAGCTCTACGTATCAAATGCTTTATGCTATGGATTGTTAGGTTAGGGCCATAGCTGGAGAACCTCTGAAGGAAACAAAAGCCCTAGGCACACACACTTACTGCCTCTGTGACTTTGATCAGACTGGTAGGCTATGTGATGTGTGTGCTTTGGTTTTGATGTGGGCAGTTGGATTGCTTCATCAGGTTGGATTTTAAGCTTCAATGTGGTAGTACATCTTAAATTGAATGGCTGCTGCTGTTGTGGTTTTGTACAGTACGTGAATATGTGTCCTGTAAAAGTAAATGACTAGCTAGATACAGGATTTTCAATGGCAAATTTTCCATTACACTTGTCATTTCAAGTGCCTCGTGCTCACATAGAATCCAGATCGTACTAATGACACTTTCATTTACACTTCAGACTTCAGATCAGCCAAACACTACAGCCTCTCGGGGCTCCTTTCATTTGATCATATGTGTAGAAATCATTGGAGCCGGTTTTCCTCATTGCTTTAATGACACAGAGAACAATGGCAAATTTCAGAGCTATTGTAGTGTAGCTGTAGTGGCCATTATCCGAAAGACAGAGGAGACAGATCATGGATGTATTGAGAAAATCAGACAGTGAGTGACAATTTCCATAGACTGCTTACCGACATAGTTCTGGGTAACACAGACTTTGTGTTCAGTAACTGAGCAACTATCCAATAACATAAAATGCTAGGTATCATAGTTTCCCTAGTATAGTACTAAAAAATCATCGTATACTCCTTGTAGCACTACACATTATGCAGAAATGCAAAAGTAAATAGCTATTTTACTTACATTACACTTTAGATTATAAAATGATAACAGATGTTTTAGGAAGTAGATTGTTAGCTTCACTTGTATAAATTGTTTAACAAAAATATTTGATCCAAAATTTACAAGTGATGCAGTCTCAATCCATCCTACACAGTTAAGTCCACTTAGATTCCAGCTAGATTTGTTTTCAGCTGTTGCTGGCTGTGAAGGCAGTAAATTTGTTTTCTTCAAATAATAGCTCCACAAAGTCAATGTTCATTGTTTAATCAGAGGATCAGTGAAGTATCTAGATGTATTATTCTCATATCTCTTTAAAAATACATTCAGTATTGCTTAACAATTTAGTTTCAGCAGCAGAATATGTGATCGTTTGTTGTCACTGTATTTAATTGGGAACTTTATCATGTGGATATTGAGGCATAAACTTGTAACTAGGGATGCACCGATCCACATTTTTTCACTTCCGATCCCGATACCTGAATTTGGATATTTGCCGATACCGATACTCTTCTGATACCAGAGCTCTGTTTGCTTTAATATTATTATTATCATTATTGTTGATTTTATATGAGGCTGAAATAAACTCCTCTCAACAGGCAAGTATGATATGTACGTATGTATGCATGTATGTCCCAAAAGGCAACTTGAGGTAAGTATAAGGTCAGAAAAGGAAGTCAGAAAAACAGGAAATCCTGTTAACAGGAAAATCCCATCCTGAAAACAAATATGCAACTGTTAGGGTTTCAGATTTACTGTCATGTCAATATTTATTAAATTCCCAAAATGTCAAATATTGGAAATATAAGAAAAGTGCAATAAGTGTAAACATCTTACACTCACACACTAATCCCTTTAGTTTTCACGTTGTCTGCCTGGAGTTTACCTTGTTTTTGGAATGACTCCAGAAGTGATTCCTGACAGCTCCTTTCTGCCCCCTGGCTAAAAAATCCTTGTTTTCTTTCGTGTGGTGCTTTTAAATGTTTGATTGCGTTCGTAGTGTTGTACGACGCGAGGGAGCTTCCGCCTCTCTGAATCACAGCTTTGCTAGCTGACTGCCGAATTGATTTCCTGAGCGGGGGCGTGTCTCATAACTCCTTGTCTCCTTGAGCCGCGCCTCCATTCAGGAAATCCATTCCGCAGTTTGCAGCCAGCTAGCAGACTTGCCGGCAGGAATCACCTGTGGAGTCATTTCAGCAGACAACGTTACAGCGCAGACATGGCTCATGGATCGGATATCTCTGCAGGTTGGATCAGGAAATTCCGATCCGTGAATTACGCTGGAATCTCTCCCTATACCGGTACTGGATCGGATCGGCCCCATTCCTACTTGTAACCACCCTAGGTAACAACAGAAAACCCTGGCTTTAGTTCAGAAACTGTGCTGTGCTGGTGGGAAACAAAGTCTTGTTTCCCACCAGCACCAGCCCATGTATTCACTGTAAAACATTCTAATTTATTGTTTGATTATAAATTCATCTTTAATTGAATCATTTCTAGTTTCAGGGGCCTTGAAAGGCAGTGCATCATTTTTTAATTTTATTATTTAAATAATAAGGGCTGTGTCTGTTACTACAACCACCCCAAGAGATAATTTCAGTAGAACACATCTTGTTGTCTGTGCTGTGGTGGGAGCAATGAAAGTGAAAAAATCCTGTCACTTTTCCATTCTACTCTTCAGCTATTCTAATTTTCTTTTACATTACGTTCCTGTCGGATTTTTCTTTTCTATTTTTGGAAACGCTCGGTTTAACCACTCCCAAATATCCTCCTTGTAACAGCAGGATTTCAGTGTGAGCCAGTCACCCTAGAGAGATTTCATTGCTGTGGTAATGCATTGTTTATTACTGTCTATGAGCTTGAACTTTATCTGTTTTCTGCTGTTCTTGCTGACTTCTGGAGTTAAAATCATAAACTCCACAGCTTGCCCATTTCAATTCTCAATTGTTACAGTGGTCCTTTGGCTGTAATGGATGTCTGGTCAGGCAGTGGTACAGATTATAACTCTTATCCACACACACACAAACACAGCAGTAGCTCTGTCAGAGTACACATATCTTAACAGTGCAAATTATGCAAATGGTTTTTCCAATTTGTCCAAGTATTTACTATAGATTTAAAAGCTTCTAATTTTAGCATGCCAGGCTAACTATCTTAATACCTATAGAAATAACCTTCCTGAGCTGAGGTTATCTAACACTTTCTAAATACAATATTTTGTAGGTTACATCATAAATAAGGTCAATTTAGGACTGGCACATCTGCTGCATGGCTGCCGGGCCAGGGTATTTACCATAACAGAGAATTGGGTAATGGCCTAAGCCCGCCTGCTTAATAAGTGGGTAAATGGGCGTTCTATCTGCACCCAACAGTAATCTGTGTTGTCTTGGCATTTGGCCCAACTCTGCATGCAGTATCACTGAAATCGTTGATGTAGTTTTTGAGGGAAACAACCTTAAAAATACAGAAATGATAACTGCATATCAACGTGGTACTTTATACTTGAAAGTGCTGCTGTTTCAGTATGGTAAAGTAGTTATCTGTAGTAGTACAGTGGAAGTTCAGTTCAGTGCGATGAACCTTGAGCACAAGTAGCTGTTACTAAAAGGAGGCACAATGACTAAATTCCCCTTTTTTTTGTCCATATCCTTTCCCTCAGTACTGATATTTTGTGATTGGAATTCATGGGATACATTGGGCACAAGAAGTGGAATAATGTAGTTATACAGACTTTTAATGTCTGTTTTCTATACTATGTTCCAAAAAGGGTTGTGGAGAATTATCACATAAGCCAGCCTTGAAATACTTTTTTTAAAACATTGAAGGGTTAGTGGATATTACATTGGCAACCTGACAATTGGCACAAAAAATAATTGATTTGGGGCTCAGTTTCAAAACCCTTTTTCGTGTGTGTTTTGAATAGGTTTTCAGTTGACAGACAAAATGATAAGCAGTCATATGTCAACTAAGTTTACGTGTCATTTTCTCTCAATACTGTCCTGTCCATCCTCAGGCATTACAGCTATGGTTTGCTCTCATGGCTCATCCAGTAGACTGCCAGTTTATTTTAAGGTTCAGGCCATTCATGCAGCATTTCTGGTTTGCTTCAAAACAAGTTTTCTACTTCACTGGACTCCTCCATGCCACTCATGTTGCCCTGTATGACTTGAGAACTTTGGTTTGCAGAGGTAAACATCTCATCACTGCAGTGATGATGAGTGGACATGACAGCGATTTGGCTACTCATTTGGCCAGATGAAGGAAACTGATGAGAAACATAATATGTCATTGTCCTTCTTGTGCGTTTAATGGCCCAGCATAGCCTCTGAGAACTGTGGCTGACAAGTAGTTAGCGCAGTGAGATAGCCAGTGTCTCGACCTGATGTCTTAAACCAATGGCAAACAGTTTGACAGGTAACCTGACTGCCTCTGTTAATAAGCTTGGCAGACTAAACAAACCTCACAATGGCTTGATGACGATGTGTGTGCTGTCATTCTAAAGCAGAGTTGTAGAGGTGCTATGATATATGTAATCAATGCAGAAAAGGAAATACCCGCCTTGAGAAGATTATACACTATAAACTTATACTTAACGCTGATTTTGCTGGGGTCCATGATTTTGTCCGCATATTATTCTGATTG